CCCCCCCCCCCCCCACCTCCTCCTTCAGGTATTGTTGATTTCTGCAGTAATCAAGAAATTATCGTTTTTTTCCTTCATTCCGAAATTTGCTCATATGTGTAATTCGATTTATTATTTACAAATTCCCGTTGACAAAAAACTATTAGCAGGTAGAGATCTACACAAATGCACGTAATGAAAAAAACACGAAGACCTCCCGGATGATCAGTATGGCGATTCAATTTTAGTGTTGTTACTGGGATGTCCTTTACATGCCGGATTTTGGCCCTATGATATCTACCTTGATGACGTCTTGTGTCCCGCATGGCAAATTTGGTTCCGAATTCTAACGGGAAAGAATCGCATTACTTGCAAATTTTCACATCTTCCGCGTTACAAGGCGTGTCTGTGTCAGGACCATCAGTGTCGTGTCCGATTAAACTTGAATGGCACGAACCGGCGCAGCATCTGATCATCCAGAAAAACATAAAATACAAAAGTCCATAATCTACACTACAAAACTTCGAACACGCTACAAGAAGAATGAAATAAATTAAAAAAAAAAAAAACGCAAATCACCAAGAAGTACCGAGATCAAAACCATTCGGACCATCGGCGTAGAAATCACAAGTTTCTTCAGGAATGACATTTTGAGCTCATCGATGATGCTGTGAAATTTGTGAGATCGAGTAGCCCCTCCGCGTACAGTCAACCTATATCAAGATCATCCAGACAATCGACGTGACTGGCGACATGAATGAACGAAAATAAATGCAGATTAAGTCAAAATCAGTTTACTTACTTTGAGAGGCTGGGACACTCGGCAGCAGCTCGAGTAAAACAGCAATTCAGTTGAGTAAAACAGCAATTCAGTTGCTGTTTTACTCGAGCTGCTGCCGAGTGTCCCAGCCTCTCAAAGTAAGGGACTGGTTTTACAACTGAAATTCCGACCTACTGCACAACAACAGTGGTACTTTTCACTGTAGAGTGCCCATCGGTAAGTTTTGATTTATTTTAGGTGAACGTTGAAAAAGTAAAACTTTTGAAGCGAGCGATTTTTGAGGCTAAAAATATTTCGAAACGAATAATTGCCCCACTGTTAATGGTCTCTGGACAAGGACAATATCTCAGTCTTTTCCGTCTTCTTGTCGCTTATCAATTCTTTTTTGCCAGCTACGGTATTATTTCTGCCATTTTCCACAAAGATATTACTCTTGTGCAGGGAAACGAGTATTATTCTTCTGGCCTTGCACGAGTAGATGCTGCCAGCAGAGCGCTGCCTTCCGGACTCATATTTTCAAATGCCTCCAACTCGCAGTGAAAGTAGAATACAGCAATTTTTTCGGAATTTTATTTTGCAAAATTAGTGGTTAAAATTCTGGAAAAGTCTGAAAATTTCAGGTTTGCAGCCTGAACAATGTCAAGTGCAAGGCTGAGGCCGCATATTCTGCTTTTCTGGCTCAGTGAAACCTCGCAATCAGTTTGACAAAGGATTCAGGTATCACCTTTTGATTTCCAACCGAAATTTGTTAAATATTGATTTAAGAATCGCGGTTTGCTTTCATGGCCTTCGAGGTGCTACAGTCTTAGTTTTTCGGAATGCAGAATTCGGGAACCAGATGTTTCGGAAAAAAAAAAAAGCAGAAACATATCGATGTGACGTTGCCGAAACATAAAACACTGGACAAATTATCATCAGCAGTTGGCTTCATTCGGCGCGCTTAATCGATTCTCGATCTTTTGCAACGAGAGACTGTGCAGCGGTGCACAAATGCACTAGGCTGATGATTGCTTTCAAAACTGCGACTGGGAACATTAGTGCTGCCAGGAGTGCAATGAAATGAAAGCCATGAATGCCTGGACCAGGCCAGAAATGGTTCACGTACATCAAGCCATAGAATGCTTCGTTGCCAAAACACATTCCGAATAGAAATGCCTGCGACGTGTAGTACAGATGCAGCAGTGGATTCGTGGATTGCTGCAATATTGATTCATCTTAATTTTTGATCTATTTTACCAAGATAAGCAGCACCGCCTTAGTTATCAGTGTGTGTATCCCATGTTAGTGATATTACTGCGATGCTCCCACACTGCTGGCACATCTGCGCCAGGCCTTTTGATCCTGGACTGCCTACTCCATTTCTTACCCATCACTTGCCTGTTCAGTTAATGTTTTTGTTTTGTCAAAATTATGTTACCAGCTGCATGGATGGCGTGACAACGAACATCGATGACATACAGCTGCTTATGTCTTCAAGTAATTATGTGGATTGTTCTCCTAGAAGAGCCTGGCCCAGGTACCCTTTTGTAGTATTGGAATGGCAGTAGGTTAAGGTATGTACTTGGCACAAAGGTAGCAGTTCCAAACATTTCGAGAAGACACTGCACCGTGTTTTGTTCGGCCAAACTTGAGTAGTACCGACCGGTATTAGTCAGCCTGATCAGCGGTTGATAATGCAGAGCAACTGTGCGCCAAAAAAAAAAAAGAAATGTATGCTATACAACGCATTTTGGGGAATAACATGAATGGAGAAAAACAAATCTGCATATTATTCCTAATTAAGTCTGATTAACCTTATGTGACGTTTTGCCCATCAGGTATGTGACGTGAAAATGAAGCCAATGCGAGGCGATATCAATCACTGCTGACATTTGAAAAAAGAACATGTAACTGGGATACAGATGTCCACAATACATAACCAGTGCCA